ATATATGTACATTTATATATATATATATATATTATTATATATATATAAACTCGTTAACAAATTTATTGTAACATAAATTTATATCAAAATTTTGCATACCTTCAATAAGCATAACTCTGTGAAAAATGGACGTATTTAAAGAAATTTTGTTTCATTCTTAAGAGCAAATTAAATACTTTAAGATTTTCATAAATTTTAAATTCATTTTTATCTCCGTTTGCCATCTTTTCTAAAGTAAGTTATATCATGCAATGTTGCGAGCGTGATAACTTCTCTCATATGTCTGTGGTGCGCACGCTGTTAGTACAAAGTCATATTGGACCTACATTTTAATGATTCCGAATGACGAAATTTTGTTCGAAAAACATTCTTGGCAAAGAGTTGCCGCTTGCTTCCAAGAAGAAATACAAGCGTATGAAAATATTTTTGAATCTATCAGGAATTAAACCCGGGATCTCTAATATATATAACAGATTAGTGTGCACCTGCTTTGCCATGCTCGCTCTCAAACTAATGTTATTATAATGTTATTATAATCATCATAAAGTACGGACTTTTTCTTGTAAATTTGAAAAAAATCAATGTTTATATTTATATTTGTTTATATTTGTACGATTTTTTTATTGCGACGTATGAAAATTATCTATGCATTTTTGTTCAATCACCGCCAATAGTAGCATTATCTGTTGTGGGTAGGAGGTTGCTGATCGGATTTTGCATCCTGTGTACACGCGCGCGCAAATGTGTATGTGTATGTTGGAGGAAGCGTATCGATGGCATTTACACTTTAAATTCTGATATTTCTACCTTGTTTTCAAATGATTTTTTGCAAATGCATATTGCAAGTATTCTATTTGATAGTTTGAGGTGTTTCTCACCACATTCGGTGTGTGTGTGTGTGTGTGCGCGTGTGCGCGTGTGCGCGTGTGCGCGTGTGCGTGCGTGCGTGCGTGCGTGCGTGCGTGCGTGCGTGCGTGCGTGCGTGTGTGTGTGTGTGTGTGTGTGTGTGTGTGTGTGTGTGTGTATGTGTATGTGTACATATTTATACATATGTAGAAATTACAATACAAGCTTTGTATGTTTCTACTTAGAACATATACTACTGGAAGAGGAATTGGCCCGTATACTGAGGTAAAATCAACACCTATGCGAGAGAGAAAGGTAGAAAGGTCAAAATGTTTGCTATGCGCATGCGTCAGTACTGTCTGCTGTCATCTGTGTGAATTGTACAGTTGTGTTAATGTTTCTTACACACTGATATTAATTTACGAATGTACGAACAAAGTGAAATGGAAGTGGAACATGAACTGCGAGGGCAACAGTGGTGATGAATGGCGCGTGCGCATTACAGTCAAATGGACTATTCTACCTTTTTCTTTCGCACAGATGTTGGCTTCATGATCAGCGGCCTATTCCTCTTCCAATAGTATATGTTCTAAGATTTTCTATGTTTAAAAAAAAATTAATAATTTAATGTACTACCTCGAAAATAATATTTTCTATTTTTCAATAATTAGACTATTAAAAAAGTTTTGAAGTAAAACAATAAAAAAATATTGAATCGATGAACTTCACGACTCAAAACATTATTATCATTCTTTCTTAAGAAAAATGAGTTATTTTTTTCTTAAGGCATATTTAGGTTAATGCCTTATGACAGTAATTATGTACAAGAACTTTACGGACTCCTGGATTTTCTGCACCATATATAATTATCTGTGCGTGTATTTGTATCATGAGATCGTTAATCATTATATTATATCGCGTGTCTACCATGTCGCCGATGTCCCCGTGCAAAAAGGAAGCCCGAAAACCGAGTCTATGCAAACCAACAGAAAGATATGCGATTAATACAGTACTTCTCTTCAACTCGCCAAAGATACTTCAATTGCTCTGAAATCGAATTTCTCGCTTTTCTCACGAAGAAAATTAACAACTGTGATCGGCGCTTTAACTTCGAAGATGTTGCGCCATAAAAGGGTAGAGCGCAAGCCGAGTATTAAAAGAAAAAGAATTTGATATAACTTTACATATCATAACAATATTATAATAGTGAATAATATTATAATAGTTTAATCAAATAATTTTTACATTTTGAGAAAAACATTAAAGAATAATCTAAGAGACATCTCAGATGCTTTTCCAGACTTTTTTTTTAATATTTAAATTTCATAGAGAGAGTATATATAATATTATTATTGTGAGAAGGCAAAAAATTAACATTTTTAATTTACATTATAAAACATAAAATCTGAAAAATTAATTAAATGTCTCAGGGTGGAGCAAAGGCAACAAGAAGAATGGCGAAAAAAGTGGCACCAGCAGCATTACAGACGGAAGTTCTTAATGACGAGGAATGGATGAAAGTATTAAAACGAAAAGGCTTAATAGGCGAGTAATTTTTATGAATATCTTTATATATGTAGATAGTTAATATTTTTATGATTCGAACATTACGAAAAGATATATTTAATGCAATATCCTTATTTAGTAGTGGATGTGTATTCGGATTGGAGTGGTCCTTGCACAGGCATGGTGAGTATTCTGAAGAAGATAAAAATGGAGATCGGAGGCGACGCATTGAGTTATGCAACGGTAATTGCCATAAAAACGATATAAAAAGAATTATATTATAAGAATAAATAAAATAATAAATAATATTGAAACAGCGGAACCAGATATAAAATTATTATTTGTTTAAATAGAATAATGTAGGAACAATACAGTACAGAGAAATGACATTTATTTTATCCATATGTAGAAATTATTTTTTATATCTATATATAGAAATTACTTTTATATTTATATTAATCTTTAATACCTAAATAAACCAACTATATAAAAATATTCTTAGCATTTCATTTTTTTGATCATTTTTAGGCGAGTTGTGATCATGTTACCGACTTGAAGAGATTTCAAGGAAAAAGTGAACCTACATGGATGTTTATTCATGTAAGTAACATACAATAATTCCAGCACGTAATTCATGCGTGCATAGAAATAATTATTGCAATTGAAAAGTCGGTTTTCTCGCAGGAAGGCCGAATGATAAATTTAATGTTCGGAGCACATTGCCCGCAATTTGTAAAAATACTAATGACCGAGCTCGAAAGAATTCAAAAGGGTGACAAGCATGAGTAAGTTGGAATGATTGATAATGCTTTTCACGTAAAAAATAACTTGTAATATCTTAGTATGTTTAACTTTTATAATTTAAAATTTGCCGGTACATACATATCGCAACATTTTATTTAAGAACAAGCCTATAATGAGTTGGATATTTCGACCGATTTTGCCTATTGTCATCTCCACTCTTTTTGTTTCATAGTTTATTTAGATTATACGCGGAGACATTAAACGTTCGAATTCAGGGATGATATTAGCCGTAAATCACATAGGGCACTATAGGACTTTTAAGCATATTGCCTCACATTCACTGTTTACAAATTTTTTATTATAATTTTTTATTATATTATTTATAATTATTATTATGATGTTAGAAACTCAATTTATTAAGTTAAAAATGATTTAAAAAAAATTTTTTTAGTGACACAAACTTCATTAACATACGTGTTCTATTTTGAAGTATTACTTTTGAGTTTCTAACATAATAACAATAATAATAATAATAATAATAATAATAATAATAAAAATTTGTAAACAGTGAATGTGATGCAATATGTTTCAAAGCCCTACAGCCTTATAGTGCCCTATATGAGTTACTAATATCATCTCTGAATAGGAGTGTTGTTTATGTCTCTGCGCATGATTTAAAGGCTATGAAACAAAAGGAGTAGGGATAACAAAAGCAAAATCGGTCGAAATGTGCAACTCGGCTGCAGTCCTGATTTAAGAATATGTCGGCCACGTATGTATCGATTAAAGAATTCATTTGTTAAATATTGTCTGTTATAATAGTTGTATGATTTGTTATATTGTAAAATATAAATGTTTTATTACTTTGAAATTTCATTATTTATTTGTTTCAAAATATAGATTTTTGATAGATGTTTTTGAGAAAAGTCCGGAAGAAATAGTTCGATTGAAAATTCAGGAGGAGGCGAAAGTAGCCAAAGAAACAGCAAGAAAATCTCGAAAAGGTACAAAAAATATAGATACTATCGTATTAAACACTTTAACTTTATTTTTGAGGCAATAGTTCGAACATATAAAATTAATTATGAATTAGATTGGAAATTGCACGGAACTGTATTTATTGTTTAAGGAGATGTTGGAACCACCTGTATTATCAATATAACTAGTGTTTTTGTGTTTGTCCAATTTCTTCATAGTAGTTTCACAGAATAAAAATTCCTTTTCCACAATTAAAATGTATATGCTAATAATGTACTTGTCTCTGGTGTATTTCGTGTCCAAAGCTGGAAAAAATTGCAAATTTCTTTATCCATTTTTATCTCAGTATAGCGACCAATGCTGAAGGTAAAATGAATAAGAAATCTGAAATTTTTTATTTTTTTATTATTTTCCAGCTTTGAACACAAATACACTAACAACAAGTACTTGCATTATCATGTATATTTTAATCATGGAAAAGAAATTTTTATTCTATGAAACCACTACGAAGAAATTTAATAGGAACAAAAACATCAAAAATGCTAATTTTAATGGTAATATAAGCGGCTCCAGCATCCTCTTAATATAGTAATAAAATCGTCATATAGTTGCTGAAGCTAAAACAAGATATGAGGCAGAAATGTTGCATCTGATCACGTCGTTATGCAACGAGACTTGTCTACTGTTATTTCCTTGGATATTCAAGGATGAAGAGGGACGTAGAAGAGATAAAAGAACGAGTCCTCCATACATAGAATTAATCGAGGAATTGCTACCAGAGAACTACATGGTGGGACAAGAACTACGTAAACGAATGAACGCAGATCTGCTCCAGCAAATACTTCATGAAGTATTTTAATTTTTTTTCGATTGTAACTTATTGCATCAATATTAATAAAAATTTATTATGCTATTTTTTAACATGTTGCAGTCCACGTACAATTTTACAGAAACTAGCAAACAATTGCTCTTTGATGGTAAATGTATGTTTATGCGATTGAAGATTGTTGAAGGAAGAAAGCAACTTGACGTTCATAATCACCTGTGTAATATCTTGTTCAATGAATCGACAGTACCGGAATCGGAGGACAATTTAAATGAAGATTGGTATGCGTTTTAGTATAATTTAATTAATTCACACAAATTTCTAATATAAAATTCATAAGAAATAATTCTGTGACCTCCTAATGAATGAGAATTGATTAAAATGAATTAAAATTTTTTTCCATTTAAATCTATTCGAATGCGTACTTTAATGGCATTCACCGTCCTTTCATTTTTTAGATTAAAATTGAATTTAAAAAAATTTTGAATTGAGCAATTCACAATGCACTTAAAGAACTGAAATTTTCTTTAAATTGAAAAATATAGAAACTGCTTTATGTAATTCCTATAAATGAATAAAAATTGGGATTGAAAAAGATTTATTCTAACGTTCACAAATGTATTTCTAAAAATTTGAATCCATTTCGATCCAATCTCGTTTACTAAATTTATATGATATTCTCACATATATAGTCGAAATAATACACCTATAATACAGGTCATCATTAATTATTAATAGTAGTATTATAATATAATAATAATTAATTTTAATTGTTATTATAATCAATTTATATTTTATGTATATAGTTACGCCGGAAAACATCGTCCAGCTTTTGAAGTTCCTGATAAGGAAAATAAAAAGTTTCCTTTTATTTGGATACCTCCAAATCCCAGAAACAAGGCTATCGTTTTTCGTACAATATTTACCGTTTATACTAATACAATGTATCCGGTAAATATATTTGAGAAACATTTCTTGCATTTGATCTTTTCCGAAATTCTTCAAGGACTTAAATTAAGAATAACTTTATGTATAACTTTACAATTGTACATAAAATTAAATATAGCTTAATTATAATTCTAATTATAAGTTATAATATTTATTTTAATTATAACTCTTACTTAATTTAACTATATTATTTACTATTTTAATTCACAGTACGAAGATAAGATAGCTAAAGTACCAATAACCGTTTTTAAATATGATTATACGCGTAAAAATGATTTAAAAATGGTGCTGGAAATGTTTGATGATGATGTCATCAATTTTGGTATATTTGAATATGATAAACCGCCTGAGGCTAAGATGATTGCCAAAACTATAGAGGCATTTGAGATGAATACAGAAGAAAAAACGGGGTAATTTTTTTTATTTTAATTTAAAAATTTAAAGATTTCATTAATTTTTTAAAATTTAAAGACAAATTAATTTTAAAATTATTAATTTTTTTAAAAGCTTTAAACAATTAATGTTTATCACTTAAATCTAATCAATTTATTATCATTTCTAAAATACTTCATTATATCATATATATATATAAATATGCTTATGTTTTTAAATTTTACATCTTTTACGTCAATTTTTCAATCATAAATAATCAATATATTTGAATAATCTTTTCAAGTTCTGAAAAAAGTGATATAATATATCAAATTAAATATTTAATCTCTCTTTCATATCTAAAGAGAAAGCTAATTATTATGTTTAGTTTTATTTGTGCATTAAAATACTTTACTTTTCCTTCACAGTTACGAAATATTTGTCTGTACCGTAAAAAAAGTAGGTTGTGAGGCATTTTTGGGCTTTGCCGGGATTGGACCTTTTCATGTAAGTGAAAATCTGGAGAAGGCTGTTGAAGAATCGAAATTATATTTCCCAGACATTGTCGCTGTAGAAGAATCGGACGATGAGGAAAAATCCGAGGAATTAATAGAAGAGAATCAAGATGATACAACGACAACATAGTTATTGTAATGTTGTATTGTAAGTATATGTGTATGTGTGTGTGTGTGTGTGTGTGTACACACACACACACACACACAGGGTGTCCCATTTTAATCGATCTCAAATATCTCTTGAACAGTGCATTTTAAAAATGTTTCAAACAAAAAGTTTTGGGACTTTGAGGGAGATATAAGATGGTGCCATTAGTTTAACCTTGGGTGGCGTCGTTAAAATTAGAGTAAGATCACTTTGAATTTTTTAAACGGAACTTCCCATTTTGTATTATATATTCTTATAGCTTACCTCGAGAGCACTGTTCAAGAGATATTTGAGGTGATCGATTAAAATGAGACACTCTGTATATGGGGCATTTCAAATGAAATTTTCATTCTAAAATATTTTTTTAATTCGTAGAAATTTTTTATATATTATTACATGCATAAAAATAGTTGATATGTATTTTAGGATTTTTCGATTTACTCATTTATTCCACATTTACAACTAGTTTAATTTTTGAGTCTTCTTCTGGCCTTCATATAACTTCAATGTATTAGGTGCTTGAATTAATTCTTGCTGTTGATCAGGAAAGATATTTGTGCTATTTCAATATGATCGAAAGTGACTGTTGATGTATATGAAAGTACTGTCAATAGGCTTCAATAATCAGTATGTAACATTTGATCGGATGCAAAGAATACAATTTTATATCGCATTAAAAATGTCGAGTTTTGTATTAAAAAAAGAGTATTTGCGGAAAGCATAACTTTTCTATATTAATCTCAAGAAATCTGCTACTGAAAGTTATCATTTGCTAGTGAAGGCTTATGAGGAGCATGCTCTATCTGAAACTTAGCCACTTATGAATTGCTGCTGCAAAGACAAAAACAGAAGTCATTTTTGCATTGAACTGTAACTAGCGATGAAAAATAAGTTCGTTACAATACATAAGCGTAAGAAATCATGGGTGCGTCCCAGCGAACTCAATGTCAATGTCATCAACATCAATGTCAAAACAGGATATTTATGGAAAGAAAGTCGTGCTGTACATTTTGTAGAAGTCGGTGTAGTGTACTATGAACTGCTGCAACCAAGTCAAACCATCAATCCTGAACGCTACCGACATCAATTACTCAATTTCAGGGATGGGACGTAAAACAAAACTTGCGGCCTAAATGCGTAAAAAACAGATTAGTTTTACTTCAAGAAGCAAAATTCATGCAAAACTATATTCATATTTTGAATATAGAAATAAAACCAAAAGCAAATGTACATTTTGTTTCATGACCGATACAAAACGGTGAAAATAAGGTGGCCCAGAAATCATCAGGATACTAGTAATCGCCAAATTTATGTATTAAAGATGTATTTTAATTCTTCCCAGGTAGCAAGTTATGTTTTGTCGTCATTTTGACATCAGCTTGTTACTAGAGTCGATGTTGCTGATATTTTATTGACTTCAAGAAAAATATTTAGAATGTTGTATTACATTATGAACTTGTCAGTATATGAATTCATTATTGATTAAATCGAATATGTGCAGCAACTAAGCCTACGCATTTGATTTCGATCAAATGCTTCATTGTGAAGTTAAGAAACACTGTTTGATTTTGTGTGATTTTGGAGTACTGACAACTTGCACGAGGTAAATTGAGCTTCGAGCTAAACTTATAAAACTTATAAATCACAGTTTTATGTACACCATTACAAATTATTTCATACAAATTTCATAGTTTTTTTTTATGTCACAAGTTCATCGAAGCACTTAGTCATTCGAGTAATCACCATATCTGTCAATTACTGGAACTAGATGAGCCGAAAAAAATTCTTGTAAATCAAATAATAATGTATCCAAAATCCAAATAAAAAAAATTAGATCCGTAATTGTTATTATCTAAACATTCTACAGACCATTCAGCAAATGAGAATGGATTAAAATGGATTAAAGTTTTTTTCTATTCGAATGCGTATTTTAAATAGCGAATACTTTTTTTTTGGATTTAATTAAATGCAATTGGATTGAAAAACTGCATTTCCTATTTCGAAATTTTGAATTGAACAGTATTCACAATGCACAGAAAAAGCTAATATTATTTTCAGATTGAAAGGCATAGAGATATGTTTCAATGTGCAATTTCTATAAATGAATAAAAATGCATTCAGGATTGAAAAGCATTGTAATCATAATTCATTTTAATATTCGTGAATCAATATTTCTGAAATCTGAATCCATTTCAATCCATTTTCGTTTGCTGAACAGTAATCATCACGTTAATAAATAGATACATAAGCAAATAAAAGATGTCGATCACTAGATCATTTCTATGTTGATAATTAGTACATCTAGAACAGAAATCGGCATTACTTGAATAAAAACTAATTTTACAATACTTTTCTGTTAAAACAACTATTAATATTTATTGAAAATTTGTAATAATGATGTCTAGTTCTGAAAAAAAAATATAAAAAATTATAAAAATATATATGGTATAATTAATAGATTAAATGTTATAACTCGGTTGAGATAAATCTATACAATCAATGCTTATTCGAACAAACACTGGGTGACAATATGCAAATAATTTATTCAAGTAAACATATCAAATATACAAACATTTCGATCCTGATTTGGATCCTTATCAATGCTCCAAAATTATTGACAATATGCAATTATCTAAAGATAATAATATAACAAGATGTCATCATACTTGCTGGTATAATGATCATCACAATGTTATAAAGCTGTTCATACATCGAACATCAAAACGAAGTATCTTCGTTTTGACGTTTGATATATGAACAGTTTTATAACGTTGCTATGATCATTAATACCAGGAAGTAAGGGAGACTCAGTAAATTATAGGGGTAGAATAATCAAGGTTACGTTATAAACAAATCGCGCGAGACACGCATGTCTGAATACGCAGCGGCGACTGCCGCTCAATCTGTTATGAGATCTCGAAGTGCGTCCCAGTACAGCACAGAAACTTGTAACATTGCTGCAACATTTCAATGTTGCAATACAATGTTGCAGAAACATAGCGAAAACTTCTTTTTGCAATATTACTCAGCAATGTTGTAGCAGTATTTAAAATATTTTCAGCAAGAGACACATTGATCCAAGAGTCATATTGTTTTTGTTTAAAAATAAAAAACAAAGACAAGAATGACTCTTGTCACTGTGTCTCTGCTAGAAAGTTCACTTTGAGTGTTAAGACTTGTATATATTGATTTGTGTATAATCCAATAAAATAAGGACATAATGGAAAAATAGGAATTAATAATCACGTTTACACGGCACTTAATTGGGTTTCATAACATCTATAGTTATGAAACTGACCAATCTCATAACTATATTCCTCTGAAAAATGGAATGACTGGTTAGTTTCTAACTACGAATATTATTAAACCCAATTAATGTCCATTTCTACCAATATAGATTAATTTTAATCTCAGTTTAACTTATCTTCGTCTTTTTTTAAAGATTAGAAAAAGACGAAGAGTAAGTTGAATCGAGATTAAAGTTAATCTACATTAGTGGAAACGAACATAAGATGTAAACGTAGTCAATGTCTATAATTTATAGGAATTATGCCTATAATTTATAAACATAAAACAATTAGAAGTAGGAGTTAAATGTAACATACAATGAATACAAATAAAATATAATTTCATAATTAATTATGCTTTTACATTTTATAGGCATATTCTGATATACACAGCAAATACTGAAAATTTATGGTTCACGTTACGTATACTGTAGATTTTCAATACTGGCAGTGTATATCGGAACACGCCTATAAAATATAAAGACATAATTAATTATGAAGTCATATTTGTATTCATTGTATGTTACATTTAATTCCTACTTCTAATTTTTTATATTTAAATTTATATAGTACAAAATCTTATAATAAATATTGCAATAATATTATAATATTACAACAATGTTGTTTCATTATTACAATGTTTTTGTAATAATACTGCAAGTATTCCTCCACTGTGCGCAAAATCCAATATTGCATATATATTATGCAATATTGCTACAACATTACGTATCAATATTTTTAAAATGAACATTTACGTTGTTAATATGTTGCTGAAATATTGCACCAATATTCGCAATATTTTTGCAATGTTGCAATCTTGCAGTGAAATATTTTTGCAATGTTGCTGCAATATTTCTGTGTTGTATTAGAAATTATATTAAATATAATTAAAAAATATATAATTTAAAAAAATCGTACATGTAAGTGAATATTTTTATTTTTAAAGTTTTTGTTCTACAATCGTATATAATTGTCTGAGATATTTGATTTCCATTTAAATAGTAAGTTCTTAATAAAGTCGAAGATTTTTTTTGTTTATCTGTCTTTATTATTGTATAATGTTAATGTTTTTAAAAAATGAAACGTTTTTATAAAATGAACGGAGGCTAGTAAGCTAACCACAACTCGGGGTATATGATTAATTTAATGACGATTCTGATAATACCTACTCTTAAACTTCTTGGAATGAAATTTCATTATAAAAGAATGAAAATATCAATCAAAATGAAAGTGAAAATGTTTCACTTCTTGAAAAAGAATGACAATATTTCATTCCTCTAAAAAGATTTATCTCAGTGTAAATCTTTAAGGGTAAATGTTATAAATTTGATTCCCTCACATCCAATCTCGATAAAACTAAGCTTATTCGACGTGTTTTTGCTTGAAACGAATTTAGCAAAAAAAAAAGCATTGTTCTACTTTACGAATTGAAATATTAATCGTTAAAGTTTGTTAGATTAGAAAACTTATCATTCGCTACGCTCTGGTAAAAACATTGATAGAGAACAATCCTATTGTTTTGAATATGGTTTGTAAATCTCTAATTTGAATCAAATCTTATAGGAATCTTGTACAAATTTTATAAAATCCAATAAAATCAATATGATAGAATTCATATCCGATCAATCATGATGCTCTCACGAGGTCAACAATAGAAAATGATACAGAATTTACAGAAAAACGATAATGCAAATT